ATGGTAAGGAGCCGACTGACGCTTAACGCTTGTGTGTACATTTGTAGAAAACCTGAGTTTTTCCTCTTCTGTCCTTCAGTATGAAAACTGCCTGAAGAAGTTTTACAAACACCAGAACACGGAGGTTCTGCTGTACCTTTCAAGAGCCCTCTTCAAATGTGGGAAGCTCCAAGAGTGCAAGCAGATGCTGCTGAAGGTAACACGGAGACAAACGGAGGCTTTTGTTTGACTGTAAAACTGAGGGGAGGATGACGTCTGTGATGTGCGCTTGTGAAGGCTCGACACGTGGCGCCGAGCGACACGGTGCTGATGTTCAACGTGGCCCTGGTTCTCCAGAGACTGGCCACTTTGGTGCTGAAAGACGAGAAGAGCAACTTGAAGGCTGTGCTCAGCGCTGTCAAAGAGCTTGAACTGGCTCACAGGTAGAGGCGATTTAGATCTTTATACCTGCTGCTCTTCTTCGACTAACCTGAGCTTCTCCTCCTCGCACAGATATTTCAGTTACCTCAGCAAAGCTGGAGACAAGATGAGGTTTGACCTCGCTCTTGCTGCGTCTGAAGCTAGGTGAGGCTGTTCTATTTGTGTCAAAGTGTAACGATGTTTTTAGTTTTTCTTTCTCTGGACAAACAACAGCTACTTAGACATTTTCAATATAATGAGACGTAGAAGATTCTGGACTTTGTTAAACTTCTGGATGGATTTTATTTCAACATTTCACTGTTGACCTTCATCAAGCAAACCGTTTTCAACCATTAGAATCAACTTAAAGTGCATGTGACGTCAAAGTTTTGTGATGCATATGAATGCATTATTGTAAAGATAATATTAATATGATGTTTCTTTAGATTGTTTTGGGTCACTAACAACAGAGAGAGTTGCTGAAGGGTCAGAAGAAGAAGGTCGGCTATGATCAGATGACGCTGGGCGCCGCTCCTTTTCTGTTTGAGCCCCTGGCCTAGTCGGGGTGGGGGTGGGGGGCTCAACCAGAAAATCCAGTCGGCTCAACGTGCAGGTGCAGCGACCAAAGGCAAAGCTAAAGGCTTCCTCTTTGTTGTCACGGCTGGTTGCACTTTGGCCGCTCAAAGTTCAGAAAGATGCCCTTTCTGTGACAAAATGGGTTTCTATTAAGTTTTCATCCTAAAATCATCAGTTTGTTTATTGTCGTGCCACCACGAAATTATGTTCACTGGGTCCCAGTTACATCCAACAATAAAATGTAAAAGAAAAACAGTGATAAGAGTTAAGATATGAACTAAGAAAAACATAAACGCTCTCAGTATTCACACAGTAGAGAACATTTTCATTCAACCTTTATTTAGACAGGTTAATCCCATTGAGCCTCCAGGACTCGTTTACAAGAGAGACCTGATAGAACAAAGAAAGATGACAACAATGGACAGTTCTAAAAAGGCATACAGATTATTATTTTTTTTACAAATAAGATGTCAAAAAAGTAACAAAAACAGCTAGATCATAAGGCGAATGTAGAAAACTAAAAACAGGAACATGTCTGCATTGGTCCCTGCCAGGACTCCCAACAGATTCTTAAAGCCACTTAGAGAGGTCAAGGTCCACCATATATCCAAATATATCCAAAAGGTCCAAAGTATATCTGGCAACAACAAAAATAATATTTTCGACCTGTGGGAGGATGAAAGAAATTTTCCTTCTGTACAGAATTTATCCAGACCCTTTTGGTTATGGTACCATATTTTCTGCCGTGCACGTCTCACCGCCCTATAAGTCATATCAGTCCAAATATGTCTAATAAAGTGGAAAAAAACATAAATATGTCGCTTCGCTGTTCTATTACGCGTCGCCGCTGACAATCCAGAAATGTGGGCCGGTGTTGTGCCAAAAATCAAATGGCAGCTGCAGGAGCGTGCACAGGAGGACTTAAACAAGAATTTAACTAAATTAACACTTAAAAACAATTGTTTGCTTGAAATGATAGAAAAGATGTTTCTCATTCTAACTGTTGCTTAATTAATTCACTTCAATGGTCAAATCAGCTGCATTTCAAAAGCCGATTCGCGGGAGCAAACAGAGGGACGACTCGCTGTGCATTGCTTCAAAACTGAACAAGCTATCCATCTAAAAACAATTATTTGTTTGCTCGACATTATAATAAAGGTGTCTCAGTTGAATTTTTACTTAATAAATGCACGTCAAGGGTCAAATCGGCTGCATTTCACCGGGACGGTGCAGAGAAATGAAGCTGATTTGACGGTTGATCCAGGCGAGCTGGACGAATGTGGCAGGTTATGGCAAGCTGATTGTGTCATTAATAACCACTTTTACCTATTACATGACAAGGGCATGCCATACTACCCGAGTGCCATCTAGCAGCTGAAAATGGTAGTGTTCGTTATGTTCAGTCACAATGAATGAAAACGGTCGTATCTCAGCAAAAAGTGGTTTATAAATATGTGATAAACATAAATAAGTTGCTTCGGTGTACAAGTCGCAGGGCATGTAAATTATGCTAAAAACTGATTTATAGGCCAGAAAATGTGGCATCTAAAAAAGAATCCCTAAAATTTGAAAATTGTTCAGTATAAAACTAAAATATATCTCTTTTGTTAGATTGATTTTTTTTTTTCAAGTTTAAGGTCATTCGTTCAATATTGTCATTCACATCACACGTGGTACATGAGGTGGAACGAAATTGTGTACACAGGGTCCCAGTTACATCCAAAAATAGCACAAAGTATAAAAAGAAACCATATACAAGGATCTAAAATGTATGCATAATAATATATGGTGTATTAAACAGCAGCCTGAACATGAGTCAGTAGTGAGCAGATGGTATAAATACTGCAGTATTTGTTGTAGAAGCAGTTGTACACAATCAAGGAGCAACACGTGAATATTAAAACACAGTTTTTCTTCTGTTTCTTGTTAAATACTCTGAATGATTTGTACATTTTATCTCTGCGACATCTGAACTTGGTCAAACATTTTTCAATTCAAGATCAATTTTAATTGTTTGGAAACCGTCACAGAAACGTTGCAAAAACAACAACTTCAGGTTTCTCTTCCGTTTCTTTGATTTTGTTCATCTTTCCATGCACTCGTTTTAGGAAACGAATGTGCAAAGCAACGTTTTCATTTTGAACATTATCGTCCAACTTGTCGTTTGTAGAGATCGATTGATCGTAGACGCTGTGATCAGTTTCTTCTGTGCGTGGATCTCTTGTGGAGCCGTTTCAGTAAAGTTTGTTTTGGGTTTGAACGGGAATCCAGGCAGTGCTCGGACCTGCTGAGTCAGGCTCAGTACCACGTGGCCCGAGCCAGAAAGCAGGATGAAGAGGAGAAGGAGCTTCGGGCCAAACAAGAGCAGGAGAGGGACCTGCTGCGCCAGCAGATGTTAAAGGAGCAGGTCTCTTTGAACTCACCTTCACAATTCAATTTAAAAATACTTTTATTAATTATATCAGATGACTAATTTTATTACATTTACATTGAGGTTTTCCATTCACATCCATTAATAGCTTTGTGTATTTTTAGGAAGAAAAGCAAAAACGAGAGGCGGAGGAGCAGAAGAAGCTTCTGGAGCAGAGAGCGTTGTTTGTGGAGAAGACAAAGAACCTGCTCACCTTCGTGGAAGGACCGAAAGAAGTTTCCAAAGACAAGAAGAAGGGAGGCGGCGGACGCGTGAGTGTTGCGCTGCACCTTCGTAAACATTTGAATTGTACTCGGTTCGTGGAGGATAACCCAGTTCTTCACCTCCAAGCGCAAGAAAGGAGGCGACATGGACGACTTCGTTAACGACGATTCTGACGAGGACCTTCCTCTGAAGAAGAGGAGGAGAAGGGACAGCGGCAGTGAGCAGGAGAATGGCGAGGAAGGAGAGAAGAAAAAGAAACGGAGGAGGTGAGCCTGCTAAATATATTTTATTTATTTCAGTTCGACGGCCGGGAAAACTGATCAGTTTGTTTCAGACCTGCGAAAGGAAGAGACGACAGTGATGACGAGGACGGAGAGTCTCGACCGAAGAAGCAGCGCAAACCCAAAGAAGGGCGCAAGAAGATCGAGAAGGTCTTCAAGTCTTTCTGCTGCTGTGGTTATAGTTTGTGTAGCTCCAAGATTCTTCAATTCTCTTTTTCATTTTAGTCCCAGCCTGAGCGCATGCCACCATCTTTAAAGGGAAAGATCAAGTCCAAGGCCATCATCTCCTCCTCAGAGTCCTCATCGGATGAGGACGGACTAAAAATAGCTGAAGACAGGTAAGAAGCTAGTGAAATTCTTTTTGCTAGAAGCACCAAGTACATAAATTATGGCCGTGTTTCAAGTGCGCTTTGTTCGAGTAGACAAGACCATGACTCGGGTTCTGAGGACGAGGGCGGACACAGGAAACGCATCGTGTCCGACAGCGACTCAGACGCTGGAAAGAAGAGCTCCGGCAGCGAAGCGGGAAGCCCTCGGCGCTCCGCGGGTTCGGACGACGAGTCGGGCAGCGACCGTCCTGTGAAGAGGCGAGCGCAGAGACAGTCCGACTCGGAGCAGTCCGACGGGAGCAAGAGGAGTCGGTCGGGATCGGACGAGTCGAGGGCGGCCTCTCCTGTCGCAGCGTCAGACCGAGGATCTGAAGCAGGATCAGACAACGAGGGCTCCCCCCGCCACTCCAACGCATCAGAACAGGCCTCCGAGGACGACAGTGATTAAAATCAAATTACTCCAGATCATTTACCGAGGTTCTCGTCTGTTTAGGTTAAAGCTACGGACATTCGTTTTTGAAACCTTCTTACAGGAACTTTTTATTTTGAAGATGAAGTTTGGAATTGAACAGCTGAGACACAAAAATGCTTCATGAAATTTCACTCGACAAATACTTGTCCAACTTTAAGGTTTTCTATTAAAATTTGTTTAACCCCAGTGTAAGAAAAATGGAAACCCACCCAAGACTCATGTAAATACTTCTTTTTTTAAACTACTGTCTAGATTTGGATTGTTTAATCATTTTAAATTGTACATTTGTGGGGCAATAAAAACAAGAATTGAACAGTCGAACTTTATTCAAAGTTGATCTGTAGTTGTACACGTTACAGTGAGACCCTAAAGAAAACGTGCAAGTGTACACATACAGTACAGTCTTTGCTAGTTGAAGATTAAAAAAAAAGACCCTTTAATAACTTTAAAAATATTGCAAACAACGTGATTTTAGTAGTGAACAACCGTAGCAGAGCTTTGGCTGTCTCAATGTCAAAAATCAAGACATTCAAGTATAGTCAGCCACTTTAGAGGTATATCCATAAGAGTCGATAAATTAAAAAAGGCCACACAGATTGATTCCACACACCACGAAACATTTCACACACTTAAAAACAGCTCCAATTCAACCAGCTAAATGTGAGTAACCGTGCAAGCGTATTGGCCACAAGCATCAACTAAATCGAAGCCAGATTTAAATTAGTTTAGCAAAAATTGCCTATTTTTCAAAAACCAAATCAGAAAACTTCAGTTAGCAATTTGAATACTTTACTTTCCACTATTGCAACAACTCATGATGTTAAGCAAAGTGCAGCTAAAACGTACAATTATATTTATATATAAAGAATGTTTAGGAAAGTTTGTCATTTATCCTTCTGTAAACAGTTCAAAGAAATTTCTACGCAGCACCTGGTAACTGACCAGGTAAAGTACGATGGGGTGAGGTTATAGGAAATTTCCCTGACGTCCTGTCTACTGTTTAACAGTCAAAATGACCGAAATGTTAATGTTGCAAGACGTAAAGAGGGTAGAAAATTAGAAATTAAAATGCAGTAAATGTTGAAACTTTAGATTTGGCAAAACATTTCATTGTAGAAGGTGTAACAACCGAGGCGAAAGGTAAAAAGCTTAAAAAATGAGGACAATGATGCACAAGTGATCACTCGTTGTATTGTGACAACAGATGGCTTCGGCCTCAGTAATCTTCGTCTTCAGACTCCTCTTCTTCAGCCGTCTCCAGCCAGGTCAGCCACTGGTTCACCTACAGCAAAAACAGGTTTAATTAATAACCAGTCACAAATCAAGTCTCTTAAAGTGGATTCACTTAACTAGATTTAATAGATTTAATATTAAAGCTGGAGGAAAAAAAAAAAAAAAGTCGTTACCTGAAACAATGCTTTGCCCTTCCCGTGATACTCGTCGTTGACATCTTCTTTCCATGACAGGAAAGATTCTTCCTCAATTATTTCCAAGTCATAAAGGTTGACAAAGTAGCGCAGCAACATGCCTGAACAGGAACACAGGAAACATGAACCCACCTGCATCTCGTCAAGGAATTAATCACAACTTTTAAACGGATATATTGCAAACTTGTGCAAAATGTGGAGGCCATCTTGAGATTTTTAAAAAAAGTACGAGTTATAAATTTACATCCAATTATTACGTTTAAATAAAATTCACTGCAGGGTTATGAGCCACTGTGCTAACAGTTACATGATTGCCCGTCTCTCACTGCGACTGAGCGCACACACACCTTTAGGGAAACCCTTGGTGTTGCAGTGCACCTGCAGAGCATACAGTGCACCGACTTGCAGGTTAACGTGATCGTGGAGGAACTTCTGCATTACTGGCTTGAAAGACAGCAGCAGCTGCTTTTCTTCATCCAGCTGCTCTTTACTGGGAGATGCGAACAGCTCCTCATCGTCGTCAGGGTTGATCTCATAGGCAATGTACTGCAGGAAGCTGGTATTTAAAAATCACAAAAACAGGAAAATAAATCACGTGTCCCATGACGTCTTCAAATCAAACCAAAGCTTTATCAAGAGATTGATTTTATCACCACAAGCGCAGACTACCTGGTCACAAGGATGTTGATGAAGCCTTTGTCAGTGTGGAGTTTTGGAGAGATGTTGTCTTTGATCCACTTATAGATGGACTGTGGGGAGGGATCAACTTTGATCTGCTTCAACAACTCCTTTTCCAGTTTCATCAGCGGAAACAAAAAGCCGAGACCCTTGCCCTCCAGAATCTCCAGCATCCTGTCCTTGTTCTGGTCAATCTCTGTTTAAGAATAATTAATCAGTCAAGAGGGAGTAAGGCACCTTTGTGAAAACAACATTACAAGTATGAACTAGTGCTCGGAACATACCAGGTAGCATCTTCTGCATGTTGACCTTGCTTTGTTGGAACAGGTCACTCAGCCACTCGCGGTCCTTCAGTTTGACCATCTGCTGCAGGCAAAGCAGGAACAGCGGGAAATGTGCCCCACTCTCCAGCTGATGAGCCAAATCATCAATGCTGGCCAGCTCAGCAACAATTGCTCGAGCAGCGAACTGTGCCAGGTAGGACTTCACCAGAGGGATTTCTTCCTCAATCTTCGGGCACTGATCCAAAACACCCAAAAAGGCCTAAAAGACAGAATGTGCACGTTAAGAGCCGCGTACCCGCTTGATATTTGAATAGTTAAAATATGCGTGCATTTGATTTGAGCACATTTTTCAAACGGCACTCACTGGGATAAGGTTTTCATGTGTGACGAGGCACTCTGTGCAGAGTGCGTGGATCAGTTTGCTTGCATCTTCTCTTTCATCATCCGAACAGTTGAGCGAGTGGACGATTATCTTGTTCAGCATTTCAGACAAAAAGTGTTTGGGAACTTTCATCTCTTTTGCAGCGTTCACTGCCTCATCGATGTTTTTGTTGTTCTGGTAGTCGGTCAACAAGGTCTCCTAAACAAGAAAAAAGGCAATGAAAACCCCCATAATATCTCCCCCCCCCCCACACTCTGTAGACGGGCAATATTAGACAGAAATGAACCACAACTGTGGTGAACTTACCATCATTTTGTGCAACTCCTCTTTTGTAGGAGGAGCCTTTTTGTTTGACTTTGCTGGCTTTTCCTGGATTGGAGGGGGGTTGGTTTTGAGGCCAAGCTACAAAGAAGAATTGAACACGTTCAACTTACATCCACCATCTCTGCTAAAAATTTAATGGGAAAAATAAATAAAAAGTACCTGTCCTATCGGGGAACCTGTTTGAGGAATCATCGTCATCTGTGGCAGCAACTTTGGCGCTTGGTTTTTATTTAAGAGGAAGGACTGTGCCGGCCTCAGACTGATCTAAAAACAGCAGAGATCCAGTTTATTTCAGAGGTACAAGGTAAGAAATCTACTCCATTGATGAACTAAAGCCACTCACTCCTGCTGAACAAAAACTTTTGAATTTAGAGCTGGTACCTCATCAGCATTGAGTTTCCCTTTCTTGCTGAACCTTGGAGCCATATCCTTCGACTGCACCAAATTATTCTGTTTATGGCTGAAAACAGGCGAATTCTGCCCCTTTAAAAATATTTTACAAACGTCATTATTGATAAAAACAGAAAAAATGACATTAATTGTATAGAAAATAAATAAATAAGGTATATTTACCTGGTTTGGCTTTATGAATGGTTTACCCCCTGCTTCAAACTGAGGCTGATGTGAAACATTTCCATTTCCAACATGGCCATTAAAAAGTTGGCTTGCACGATGTCGACCCATGGTAGGGGAATAATGGTCCTGAATTACTCCTGGACCAGTCCCAATGCCAATTCCTGTCAAAAGCAAGACCACATTGTTAAAAATTATATTCTGAAAACGCATTTAGGTCATGACTTTTTAAAAAAGGGTATAAAATAATAAAAACAACTAACAAACCTGGCAGTTGTCCAAACATGTCAGCCAGCCCACCAACAGGTTCCCTGTCAAACGGCATCCCCCTCGACATGAAGGCGTTACTCATGAAGAAGTCGTTTTTCATCACATCAGTTGAAGGCGGAATGAAAACACCCAAATCCTGAAAAAAAAATAAATTCCAGATTAGCTTTGGACAACCAGACAAGTACGACCATTACCGAGCCATGCTGGTTCTGTTGGTTTGCATTATAAAGATGGATACAAATAAACAAACCTTTACGGCATCCTGACGAACTTGGTTGATGGTCTTTGGCCCGTTGTCAACATAAGCTTTGCGAGGAACCCAATTGTTGTCTCGCAGTTCCACCATGTTCTGAAGCAGGAAGCGAATCCTTGCCGGTAAATCCTTGTTGTTCATTAAGGATCGCATTCGGCTAAAGTACTGATCCATCAAGGACTGCGGGAAGCGAAGATATTTTACATTTTTACAAAATGACTTCAAGAATAGACCACAGACTATGGCATTTGTTTTCATGTACCAACCTTAGCCTTTGCATGATCAAGTTTAGGTCCCACAGTTTTCATTATCTGACAGAGGCATTCCAAGTCCTCACCCATGTCCTCAAGTTGAACTCGCTTTTTCTTCTCCAAAAGCTGAAAACACAAATTTAAGTATTTACACAAGCAACAGAAAGAACTAGATGAGGTTTACGAATACATCAAAATGACGCACAAAGCCAACTAACAAAACTTACTGTTTTGATGCACTTGTGAAGAATTGATTCATGGATGAGATTGAGTTTGCCAAGTTCACCGATAAATTTGATGTTTCCCAGCATTTTGAACTTCGCAATAGAACGCTGCTCCTCCTCCTCAGAGGTGAGTGGGTTGTCATGTTTGTCAAAGACTAAAAAAAACAAAATGAAAAATGTTACACAACTGAAGGTTGTAATTAGAAACTGGTATAAGACACAGTTTACTCACCATCCACATTCTTGGCACGATTCTCAAATTCATCTTGAAGCTTGGAGATCAGAAGCCTTCTGAAAGTCTGGGAAAGAACAAACTGTTAAAAACACAGAAAGACAAAAAAAACACATGCAAGTTGACAAATGCATATTTTAATATTTGAGGAAAGCTTACTGTATTTTGCTTGGTTGCTGCTTGATTTTCTGATGGAGGCTCAAAGTTTGGTGCATCCTCTGCCAAGCGAAGACATAGTTGTGCGTAAAGCTGGCTGTACTTGGGTTCCTCAAGGGCTTTGTCTACAATCTAGAGAAGAAACCGAAGCAGAAAATTAAAATAAGCAATTTAACCCCAATAAAAAAAGATATGAAGGTTAGGATAGGTGAACACTCACCAGTAAGACTGTTCCCTTTAAGACAAGTTTCGATTCCGCACCCACATTGAGGAGTTCCAAGCAGAGTTTGTCAAACTTTTCGGGAGTCAACTTATTAAGTATGCTAAAAATAAAATCAAGACAAATTTTGCGTCATACGACAACGGACTGATTCAGTTTCACATTCAACACCATCAAACCAGTTACAGTAATTTGAGCGACTTGGTGATCACGAGTCGAAAACAAACTTACCCTCTCACTTTCCTGAAGGTCCCATCGTGTTGTCCTTTGTCACTGGAGGTGTTGGCATCTCGTCTAGTGCTTCGAGAAGGAATCCATCTCTGAACGCTAGAACCTGGGGTCTTCCCCAGGAACTCGCTGTAAAAACAAAAAACAACAGTCGGTGTCACCGAACAATCACAACAGTTATATTTCTTAACACAAATAGCTTTCATTTAATAAAAGCTGTTCTACATTAACTGCTTTAGATGCATAATCCCGCTGTTTCACGATTACTTGTTAAATGAAAACGGTGCATTACGTAGTTAATTTTATTAACATTACCTGTTGCAGACAGTCTTGGGATAGTGCTGAGGTGCACCCCCACCTCCTCCCCCCACACTGAAATAGATAAAATGAAAGAAATATAAGCTTCCATAGATTAAGCTGTGGGATTGTTTCGAGCTCAACATAATACCGATTAGTACCTGAAACGAGAAGGTCCCCCTGGTGCAACGACACTCTCCACTTTGGCGGCTTGACAAAAAATATCTGAAAAGAATTAAATTCCAAAAAGGGGCTGGAAAACACGACCTGGGAAAGGGACAGAATGTACAAAAACTTGAGACAACAGTAAAAGCACAAACAAACACCGTTTACCGTGTATATGCGATGTGCCCACGTTTTAAATTAAATTATTTTAAAGCAAAAATCAAAGCGCATGAACCTCGACACGTGTGTGAGGCAGCCAGGGAGCTAACATGCTAACTTAGCACGAAACTGGACTGCGTCTGATCACGGCTTCCTGGTTGCCATTAAATTCACTTACTGTAATCTGGCGTAATCGTAAACCGAACACGAAACCTCGCAGATTTCCCGTTTCGCCAAAACACACAGCTAAACAGCGATTACTTAATCTAGATAACCAGATTAGGTCATCTCGTTCTATACGCAGCAAAATAATACAGAGATTTCGATATAAAAACCGTCATAAGAAGAATTTCTGGGTAATTTACAGCCATTATAGCTTGAGTTATTAGGTATATTTAATTATATTTTGAAACCACGGCTCTGGGTCACTTTGTACCTTAGCATTCCAAAGGAGAACACAATATACCCATAGCTGTCTCCTAATACATGCCATTTGTCCGCCACAATACAGTTCATAATATTCGTTTCCTTATTATCTGTTCTTTAATGCGCTCAAATTCGCACTCGTACACGAAATATGTTCGTGACAAAGCCAAATTTCGAGGAAGTACCATCAGCTGGTGTTCTGAGGTCTTTGTTCAAACACCGGATGTCCAGACAGCGACATCTTGGGGGTTTTGTTCTCGAAGCTAATATAATAGCTAAAAAAAAAAAAAAGGGCTAGCACCCGCTTGTCGTTTTAATAAACTGGTAGAACATAATTTCACACGTTTCACAAGGTTGACAGCAGCAAACCAAGAAAGTCCAGCGGTACTTATCCGCTTTGTAATTTACATAACCTCGATGAACTTCCTATTTTCGACTGGTCGGTAAGCTAACAGTAGCTAGCTAGCAAAGAAGGAGGCAAAACCCGACACGTCTTACCTTAGTAAAGGGACGTCAGCACAATGGTTGTCTAGTCAACTAAGAAATAAAAAACAAAGTTGAATTGAAAATAAATACTAATAAGTTGCCAAAGCTCTAATCTCTATGTATTTTTTTTAAAATGCTCAGAAACACTGACGGTTAGCTATCTCTATGAAGAAGAGAAAGAGGACTGACTGTTCCCGTACGTCACGCGGACGCAGCTTTTGTATGGAGGTCGTGTGCAACGTCATCCGCCCGGGTGACGTCACCTGCGGAAAGTCACGAACGTTTCGCAACATCTTCGTGTTGCAATGCCGTCTCAGCAGGGAGGGATCGTCCTCGTTCATAGTTCTAGAAGTACTGGCCATATTACAAGAAATATGTTCAGTTTCTTAAGTAGCCTGTAAACAAAAACATAGACATGCCTGTTTAAAGCCACTATAGCTGTCAAAATACACATTTTTTTATTGCTTTGATTGTGTTTTTTTTTTGCATTTGTGTTTCTAAGTGGCTTTAAACATCTGTTAAGTTCCTGGGAAAAACCACTGCAGACATGTTCCCGTTTTTAGAATTCCGATACACCTCAGGGCTGTGTCCTCAGTCCACTCCTGTACTCACTATTTACACATGATTGTACCAACAAGAGGCAGCACGGTGGCACAACTGGTAGAGCTGCTGCCTCTCAGCGAGCAGGTCCTTGGTTCAAACCCCGGTCCAGGGGCCTTTCTGGGTGGAGTTTGCATGTTCTTTCCGTGCATGCGTGGGTTTTCTCCGGGTACTCCGGTTTCCTCCCACAGACCAAAAACATGCATGTTAGGCTGATTGGTAACTCTCAATTGTCCGTAGGTGTGAGTGAGAGAGTGAATGGTTGTTTGTCTCGTTTGTCTCTATGTGGCCCTGTGATGGACTTGCGATCCATCCAGGGTGTACCCCGCCCCTCGCACAGTGATTGCTGGACATGGGCACCGGCGACCCCCGTGACCCAAAATGGAATAAGCGGGTAAAGATAATGGATGGATGGATGGATGTACCGACAAGCACAGCTGTAACATCATCCTCAAGTATGCTGATGACACTACCATCCTGGGCCTCATCCCCAACAATGACGAGAATTCCTACAGAGGCTAGTTGAAATCACTGACCAGCTGGTGTCAGGCAAATTACCTCTCTAAATGTCAGCAAAACAAAGGAGATGATGGTGGACTTCAGGAAACAACGTGGAGGTTAGCACTCCAACATTAACGTAAACAACACTGAGGTGGAGCAAGTCAGCAGCTTCAAGTTCATCGGTTTTCACATTACAGAGTATTTGTCCTGGACTTTACTACAGAGACTGTGGTCAAGAAAGTCCAACAGAGACTCTACTTCCTAAGAAGACTAAATAAGTTTGGTACACATACCAGCATCCTCACCAACTTTTATAGGTGCACCATTGAGAGCCTGCTGACAGGCTGCATCACAGGATGGTACTGGAACTGCACCAACCACAGCTGGAAAGCTCTACAGAGGGTGGTGCAAACAGCAGAGGACATCACTGGTAGTAGTCTTCACACCATCCAGGACATCTACCACAGCCGATGTCTGCCTAAAGCATGCAGCATCATTAAGGACCACACCCACTCACCACAAGGACTCTTTTATCTACTACCCAGATGGAGGAAGCACTTTAGGTTGTGTTTTTGCTAGGCTCCCGTCATTACTGCCTAAAAACTGCCTTTTGTGAGGATTTTCCATTCACAATTTGCTAAAATGTCTTGATGACATCAAAACTTGGATGGCTGCAAACTTCTTGAGTTTTAATGATAAGGAAACTGAGGTCATTGTGTTTAACCCAAGCTTTGCCATGACTCCCTTCAGCCATATCTAAAGCAGTCGGTTACCAATCTCAGGATAATGACTCGGACTTTAAGTTTAAGAAACAGATCCACTCTGTTCTTCAAAAAAGTGTATTTTAGTTAAGGCAAATAGCAAAGCTGAAGTCTGTTCTGTCCAGGTCCGACCTTGAAAAATTAGACCATGCATTTTTTATGTTTTGTTTTTTTGAATGTCCAGAGGACCAGATTGAACTTTTTTTTAGATTTTTCTACCTAGATATTTGAGCATGCATCAGGGTACTCCATGCATTCATTACAATCTAGCTGGACTACTGTAACTCACTTTATGTTGGGGTCAGTCAGAATTTTCTTTCACATCTCCAGCTCATACAAAATGCGGCAGCTCAGCTTTTAACAGGAACTCGCAGGTTTGAGCACATTTCACCGGTTCTGGCCTCCCTTCACTGGCTTCCTGTGCGTATCAGAATAAATTTTACAATTCTCCTGCTGACATTCAAGTGCATGAACGGCCTTGCACCTTCACACCTCTCTGGCCTTCTTCATCCTTATGCTCCTTCTTGGGCTTTGAGATCATCGGACCAGCGGCTTTTGGCCGTACCAAAAACCAGGCTGAAGCTCAGAGGAGATCGGGTCTTTTCAGTCGTGGGCCCTAAACTCTGGAACAATCTGCCCATCAACATTTGACAGGACACCTCAGTTTCTGCTTTTAAATCTCTCCTGAAAACTCACCTGTACTCACTGACATTTGACTCACGGTCATCTGATCTCATTTAGTATTGCATTCTTTCTGACTGAGTTTATGCTTTTTTGTTATTATTCCTTGACTTTTGACACAAGGTGATCTGATTTATTCATTCAACCTTTATTTTTACAGATAAGTCACATTGAGCCTCAAAGACTCATTTACAAGTGAGACCTGTTGGGAAAGACAATAAAAAGTGGTGAAAAATAACACAAAAGGTTTGGAGACAAAAAACATTCCTAGCACACTTTTAACCTCTGTATGAAGGTCAACAGTGTGATAATGAAAAAAATCTTGCACACGAGCACATAATGACGCCGACATTACGCGGGGGGTCGCAAGAACGGTGAGCAGTCAGACACAACACACAGAGGCACTGCAGAGTTCAGATAAAATCAGTTCAAATAGTTCCCTCTGGAGTGATCCGTGCACACTCGGGGGGGTACCGAGGACGATCAAAGACAAATCCAAAGAGTCCTGAAATGATGACAGAATGTTTATTCAGCTGGGCTCCTCTGAAAAGTCCATGGAAATTCCTTGGTAGGAGGGAGGGGCAGAGCATCAAGTTTACAAAACTTCCAGGCATGTTGAGATAAGATGGCCTGTCAAGGCCAGTCAGGGAGCCAAATTCAGATAAACATGATTGTTTTGGGGACAGGCAGAACTTTAATGACATCTACCTTGAGTCTGTGTTGGTCCTCGTTTCCGAAACGTCTAAATTAACATGACCATACCAATGGAACGTGCCTGAGAATAATCCCCGAGATCTGATCCATTCTGCAAAAAGTCTGGGTGCTCGAGGCACAAACCAAGCCATTGCATAAGGCAGGCAGCTTGACCAGGTCCAGCTTTGCTGCCAACAACGTCCTTGTTTGTTGATAGACCAGGAACCAACCAATCCAAAAAGCAGAAACCAGTTTTCATAAATCCAATTATAAATGCGCTCTTAAAAGCCACAGATGGCAGCAGAGATAGACACGCCGTCAAGTTTTCAAAGTCGATGAGATATCCAGCTGCGTGTGTGCCAACCCCAGCCATTTGGTCCAGCTCCTCCGGGGGAATCCCAAGGTGTTCCCAGGCCAGCCGAGAAACATAGTCCCTCCAGCGTGTCCTGGGTCTTCCTCTGGGTCTCCTCCTGGTGGGACGTGCCTGGAACACCTCACCAGGGAGGCGTCCAGGAGGCATCCTAAACAGATGCTCAAGCCACCTCAACTGGCTCCTCTCGATGTGGAGAAGCAGCGGCTCTACTCCGAGTCCCTCCTGGATGATCGAGCTTCTCATACTATCTCTAAGGGAGAGCCCAGACACCTTGCGGAGAAAACTCATTTCGGCCGCTTGTATCCACGATCGCGTTATTTCGGTCACAACCCAAAGCTCGTGACCATAGATGAGGGTAGGAACGTAGATTGATCGGTAAATTGAGAGCTTCGCCTTTTGACTCAGCTCTCTCTTCACCACCACAGACCTGTACAGCGCCCGCTTCACTCCAGACGCTGCACCTATCCGCCTATCAATCTCACGTTCCATTTTCCCCTCATTCGTGAACAAGACCCTGAGATACTTAGAGGCACTCTACGCATTTCCGGCTCATATATATTTATATATAATTTAATATTTACAAGTGCAAACAACACAACAGTTGTAGTACTTACGTTATGAATATAATATTTTTACCAGATTAACCAAGTACTGAATAATTTCCTTAGTTGTGAGAATGTATTTTTTCTGTTCACATTGTAGTGAATACTAATGTTGTTAGAACCATAAACTTTGTCTTCATGTTCACATACAGATTTTTTGGTATGAATCAGTTCAATCCCTTTTGTGTCCTGTTATAGAAGACAAGAGCAAATACAATATTTGCAGTCGTTATTTCATGATGAGGAAAAATCAAATACATTCTTGTGGAGCAAGTTTCCAGAATTTTACAGGCATTTAAACGACGACTGTGCAGACGATGGGAAATGTGTTAACGAGCTGAAAGAGTGAGCTGGTTCATTTCCATTGACTTGTGACGTGGACGGACCTGCAGAACCAGTCCATCTGCCTGTCTTGTATTGACTGTGTGTTTTGTTGTATAATATCTACATGTGTTGAGTACAATCAGTGCTTGGATGTTAAAAAAGGGATGCATTCCTCATCGTTAAGTCAATAGCACAAACCTGTTTGGCTTCTTTAAAGCAAAATTGCAAAACTTTTGAATTCTTTGTTCCTTGTCACATGTTCAGTCTATATGTGTGAATGATAACATTTTCTGTGAATGTTGTTTGACGACAAATCTTTAAAAAAAATCACATTAGGCAGAGCTCAAATCAGCATGCCTTTATTTCATCATTGCGCAGATACAACGCAGCTAGAAGGAAGTGAATATTGAACAACCTGTTTGACTGATTTGTTCAGCTGTGTGTTGCTCCTAAATGTTCTTCCTGAGACATTCAACACATCTCAGTCCAGGAATTCACACGATGAAACCAGACTGCATCCCTCTCAGAGATGCATGTCTCAGCATGCTTACTCAACTATTTCCCTGCATTAAACCTCGGTTTGTGCTTGCACTGTTTGCTTCTTCATTCTTTGCGGAGCATCAATCATTCATCAAAGGCGAAATGAAGCCAGTTGTCTCAAAGTAAACGCTCCAAGTTAATTAAGCCCAGCATGGCAGTGAAGTCTGTAAAAGTCAGCTTTGTTCTGGAGAATAAACAGTCGTGATCCAGTCAGAGCCTTTGTGAAGCTGGTTCACATGATACTGGTTTGATCAAATTCTTTTTGA